TAACAATCCGTCTGTTGACTCCTGCCTACAGTAAAATTCGGCTGTGCTCGGCTGTCATCTTCTCCCAGGGATCTTTGACTTGAAACAACCGGCTACCGAAGCCAAAGAAACCTGATGTTTGTCACACCGCCGACAGGTGCATGGTTGAGAAGGAGCGTGTTGAGTGTAGGCCTCGGGCGAGGCTGGGGCAAGAGATGCGATATCCAGCACCGGTGTTCCCAGTTGTTCAGATATACGCGTGCTTAGGTGAGCCGCATGTGGTGAGCATCATAAACTAAGATGTTCACTGCTCCTTCAGCGACCACACACATCATGGTTCTCTCAGAAGAGACTCCATCTGCTTTTCGTACAAAATATGAGTCTGCATTCAGCTACACACTGGCTAACGTGGTTTAGAGCTCCACTTCTAGCCCCTCATCACAAGCCAATGAACTTGTGTTTGTTGTTTGGATTCGAGAGCCAGCAGCTCCCGCTTACACTTCAGTCCGCAACATTGTCAAACCGCTTATGTCCTATTTCTAGAGATGATACCGGGACATCTTGTTTGTGTACCAATGTCCTTAGTACTGGGTTGCAGGAATCCATCAAGATGATAGTAAGTGTCTTCGCGGATGGGAAGTAGTTAGATGATGTACTGATTTCTGCTGGCGTGACAACTGTCAAGAACCAGACTGTAAGTTAACCTGGCACCAGGGACGGCAGATGATGAGGAAGATCAAGGATCGCGCGTAGGGGACGCCGAAAAGAAGACTGTCTCAGAAGAAGCATTGACTTTTGCCAATTTACGACTAAACTCTGTTGTACTATAAAGTTAAATATGTTCTAATTATTTACTATAAGTTATGTATATATAGGACTATGTTGATAGCTTCGGTGGGATGTTGGGGACATAGCTGTAAGGTAATTTTTGCTACAGGTGCATTAGACTTGTTACTCTTCCGGGACGATTGTGATAATAGTTCTGTTAAAGACAAATTATATGCTATTGTTTGTAATTCCAATCAAATCCTATGTGTAGATTCTTTATCGAGTATCTTCGGGTTGCTCGAGTTCCGTAACGCTTCATAATCAATCTTGGTTTAATTTTAAACAGTAACGCGTATGCGTTTATTAATGATCGATCTATACGGAGTGTTTCAGGTTTGATAAACCATTGACGTCATATCGCATATGCGCAGTTTAACGCGTTGCAAGGGCAAGCAGATGCGTGATATTGGTCGATACAACCATACGCACGCCACGCTGTGACGTACACACGCACGCCACGCACGCACCCACACGCACACTCGTGCACCACGTGAGTACGGCACACGCACGCATCGCACGGCATGCACGCACGTGTACGTGCACGCGCACGCACGCACGCATGCACGCACAGGTACGTGCACAACGCACGCACTCACGCAAGCACCGCAATGGTGCGTGCACACGCTACGCACGCACGCACGCATGCACGCACGTGTACGTGCACACGCCACGCACGCACGCATGCACGCATGTGCTACGCTGCACCCCCCCCTATTGCAGGTACGCACGCGCGCACGTGTACCATCCAAACGCACGCACGCACGCACGCGCCCGCATGCACACAGTGTACCTGCACGCACGACGTACCGCACGCATGTAGCACGTGAAGTGCACCACGCCACGGCACGCACGCACGAAACGCACGCAACGGGTACGTACACACACACGCGCGCACGTGACACGCAACATGCACGGCAGGTGTACGCACGCACGCATGCTATACGTGCACACGCACACACGCAGCACACGCACGCATTCGCACGCACGTTTACGTACACACGCACGCACGCATTGCATGACACAGGTGTACGTGCCACACGCACGCACGCACGTCTACGTGCGCACATGCATCATGCACGCACGCACGTGACCTGTCACACACGCACGTACGCACCAACGCACTCATGCACACACGTGTACCTGCACACACGCACGCACGTACAACAGCACGCCATGCACGGCCACGTGTACGTGCACAGCATCGCACATTACGCACGCACGTGTACGTGCACACGCACGCACGCACGTGCTACGTGCACTCGAACGCACGAACGTGTACGTGCACACGCACGCACGCACGTGTACCTGCAACGAACGCACGAACGTGTACGTGCACACGCACGGCACGCACAACACGCACGCATGCCCACGCACGTTACGTGCACACGCATCTGCACGCAGCACGCACGTGTACGTGCACTACATAACAGCGCTTTTCTATCAGAACAGGTGGTTCATTCATCTGCTGAAATCGTCAAGCAGCCACGCCTTCGCTTTGCCACCGATGACACATAACAAATACCACGTGACCTGATCTATGACGTCACGTGAAAACTCCTATAACACTTTTATAGGGGAGTTGAATGAATGCAAATTCATACTTCTGAGTGTCTTAAATAACACCCAGAATTCGATCGGGCATCAAAATAACCCAGAAAGCAAATAACCTAGACATTGCCATATGTCAGAACAACACCGAAATTTGGTACGCGACATGAGCTTAATTGAGCTTAATGAGCTTAATTGGTCAAGTAAGCATTAACCATTTAATTTATGAATAACTGACTGGTTGGAATCGACGCCGCCCCCAAATACCCCAGCTAACATGTAAACATGACTATAAAGGGTTCAGCGTAAGATTACACATTTTCCCATAATCGCGAAAATCGGAAAAAGGGCGTGGGCCCGTTAAAAAAAGTTTCGACCAAAAAATTTTGTAACGTATGTTTTTAGTTTTATATGGACCAAATCCAACACATTAGTAGAAGAATCAGTGTTTCGACTCGATTTCCGGTAGAGGCTTTTTTTGCCACGTATGACTGGACTAGGGAGGTGTGGGAGGGGCGGTGTTCACTGTTCACCCTCCCGCACGATGGAGATTGTGGCATTAATTACACTAAAATGGAGCGACCTGAGGTGAAATTCTTGCAAATTTTCAAAAAAAAGTTTTGGCTTGGGGGCGAGGGGCTCGGCGGGGGGTTCGTTCGAACCCCCCGAACCCCCCTGGCTTACGGCCTGCAGACGCACAAGTTTTCCATACACACCCAGGCCCAGCGAACCAATGCGCGGATACACGAACACTAAGCGCGGCCACACCGTTACTCAACCCTCTCTTCCTGTTTAACCCCTCACACTTCGCTGTTCAACCGCTGGCGTCTACACTCTTTCTCGACTCCGACGGCCTAACTCGCCCATCTCGACAGTCAACTGGCCAACTCGCAACTGTGTTCACTCCCACGCTCCGCGCGTCTGTCTCTTCTCCCGACTCAACAAAACTGTTTCACGCCACGCGCGCGTTTTCTCTCTCTCTCCTCTTTCGCAACTGTTTCACTCCCACGCGCGCCGTTTTTCTCTCTCCCTTACTCGCAACTGCCCAACTGCACGCGCCTCGTTCGCTCTCTTTTTTCCCTACCGAGGGTTATGGTTAGGGTTAAGGTCAGGGTTCTATCCTTGAACCGCCTATACTATAGTAATAGAGCTACATGTTTGGTACCCCCGCATTGTTTTCGCATATGCCATGGGGTGCTAAACTAGGCGTGGGCCCTAACTTGGACTGCTGCAATGCTGCTAAAATTTGAGTATTTATATTTTATTATTGCAACGTGTACTAAATATTCAGCTTTAGTTGAAAAAATTGCTCGAGCCTAAATCCCGATAGGCAATACACAGTGTCAGTATCAGTGTCAGTGTTTCATATAACGTGTATTTGCGTAAAATTTACAAACGGCAATTACACATTGTACATTTAATAACTCGGATTCAGACAGAGTAGTGTTGTATACTGCTGTCTACATATATGCATTTTCCTACATACGCATTGGCCAATCTGTAGATGAACGTCTACAGATGGTATAGTAATACGCCTATGCGCACACGGACACACATGCAAGTGAGCGTGTGTGTGTAGGCGCGCGTGTGTGCGTGGGCGCGCGTGTGTGCATGGGCATGTGAGCATGCGTGTGCACGTGAGCACGCGTGTGCACGTGAGCACGTGTGCGTGAGCGTGCGTTTGCATGTGAGCGCGCGCATGCGTGGGCGCACGTGTGTTAGTGTACGTGAGTCGTGCACATACGTGTGTGTGTGCGTGCGTGCGTGCGTGCATGCGTACGTGTGTGCGTGCGTTCGTGCGTGTGTGTGCACCTAGGCATATATATATGCTTTGCAACTGCATTGCTGAATGGCTGCGTGTACACACATATATACACCACACAACACACTTTTCTATTTTGTCCGAAATATGTACAATTCTATTTCAATCGGCTAGTAATCTAGAAGATACATTATTGGAAGAACAAGTTGAATAAGAATTGTATAACTGCTGAGAATTTCATTGCAGCTAAGGATGCAATGAATGGATGTACTGTGTACAGCAACTCCAAAGAATCCATAATTAATCCTATACACCGAGAAGTAACAAGTTATTCGTGAAGCAACATCCATCACTAAGCAGTCATGGCTGCTTTTAAGGAATCTGATAGAAAGAAGACCAAGCTATCGTCGTCGGTGATGAAGATGAAAGTAATTACAATATGAGAAGTGTTGTATTCATGTGAATACTAGCAAAACTGGAAAGGTTTTTGTTGTGATATGGAAAAATAAAATAATTGTAAACATATATTGGTAAAGTATATACTTTCTAGATTTGGCAGTTACTGTTGTGTTTTTATTTTCAGTTTATGATAAAGACAAGAGAAAGGGAAGAGGCTGCGGAGGCATGGAAACTAGTGGATGCTGAGACTGCTCTACAGGATAGCTTGCAGGAGTATGTATTATGATCCCAGATATCTATATTATCCTATAGGATAATGAACTACATCTTGTAAACTCTGTCTTGGCTTTCTGTACCAGGATAGATAACTGAATGATCTTGTAAGTCTCGCTCTTGTTTATAGTGAAGTAATTTGTAACCCTGTGAAATTAGGGGGTTAATTTGTTAACCAAAATACTTGGACACCATGATACTTTGAATCGATTTCTTTGTTTTATTTAATTCTGTATTAGTTCTGAATTGTATTCTTGTTATCCTTGGGTATAAAGTATAATATAGTGAGTGTTTCTAGACTAATGTAGAGTTGTGCTATGAGTTAGGTTATCAGGTTGTCTTTTCTAGTTATTGTTACTAGAGTTTGTCATTTCATACATGGTTTCATACATCTGTCTTGAGATGGCATGTAACATCCATGCAAGTAAATTTAGTGGATGGCCTCTGATTGTATCTGCAGGAGTAAGTTCATCACAGAGCCAAGTTATGCCGTGGTGGAGAATCTGAGGTTTGGCCGTATTTCCTTTAAAGGATTCAATCCGGATGTTGAGGTGAAATTTTTTTATTCATCTTGGTTACTGCATAGATATATATGCATGCATTTGTCTAATAATAGTATATTTCATACATAATCCAAAGAGATACACAGGGTTCTTCTGAGGGAAAATTAGACAACGGCAGTAATGGCCAGTTTGGGGAAAAACGCACATAATGGATTTAAAGGCGTGCAGTAGGCACGAATGTGGATTCTGCAGCCAGACGCTGGGAGATAGAGGTAGAGGGGGTTCTGGGGGTCTCCCCCAGCAAAATTTGAAAAATTTGAATGTCAGACGGCATTTGAGGCACCCCAAATAAAATTTCATCTTTTATATAGATTAAATCTTACTCTGTTAGCAGACCAACCAAGTCTCACGCTGCGCATTTCGCGGGAGATTCACGCATCTGGACCCATTCTCGCCACGTCCCAGGTGCGCGCGGGGAGCGCGAGTATCGACAGCCATGTCCAGCAATAAAAAATTAATATGAAAAAAGAAGTCAACCCGGCGCTCTCACACCCCCTGTTTACCGCCACATCCGTTGGATGTGCACTATTCGTGGCTCGGCCTTTGCTGGCTGTGGGCCAAGCAAGTGATTAAAGTAAGGGGGGGGATCATAACTGATTGTTACTAGTACGTGGCCAATGCTTAATTGCTGTAGATATGGTATGGGAGTGGACAGCAAACTTTCCCGGAATCAATGGAAAAAGCTAGCAACGGCTGGAATGACAGCACGGAAGTGTGCCGGCACCCAAAAGATAACGTTGGCTGTTTGAAATTTCATTTATCGATTTTCCTATGTATATAGTCAGATAAGCATGTGTGATCTTATTCTACTTTTGGGATGACACTATTTGACAAACTGGGGGGGGGGGGTGGAGGAAGAGAGCAGGAATCATTTTCACAACGGCAAATTGTAATCATTTGGAGAACGGCTGTGTGCTGCCAGTGCCTCCTATGTGAAGAAAAGCACTTGATACACTTGAAATCTATCACATTTACACAAATGTAATCTAAAATATTATCTATTTGTCTTCTCTGGTACAAATTATGAAGCAAAATAATGTCACTTTTCTAAATCAAAAGGTGAAATTGATTAGGAATTAGCCCTGAATGTACATTGCCTGATGAATGAAGCCCTATATCGGGCCCACATTGCAAAATAGAAAACGGGGCCAAATTTCCGTGCTGTCTCACGTCTCAGTATTTATTTACACTAAGATATGATAGGAAAAGCCAGGTCTGATTTCGATGTAAAGTGTGCAGGAAATGAAATTATTTGGGACCCCTCATTATGTGCAGATTGTACCGCTGTAACGATTAGAATCCGCCATGCTTTCAAGCGGAGATTACACTGCAGGACTCGGCTCGCGGTTGTGCTACTGCCAGTGTGCGTAACTGCAGTAACTTGTCATCTCAGCTGGCTAGCAGACGGTTTTTTGCATGCTGGGTGGATTTCCTAACAGGCTGTGGGGGCTTGCTAGTATTAGAAATTCAGGCCCGAAGCCGTTTAAATACGGGCATCGGCTCGAGCCTCTTACTGACATGAGGATTATTTTTCGCTTGCCTTGGGCTGTACGTTTAACAGCTAAGCTTATAGTTATTTGAAGTGTTTGTCGCATGAGAAATATGAAAGCACCCCACCGCCCTATTCATCAATTTAGGTAAGAGCATGTTGCATTTCACATTTATCAACAATGAATATATTAAATAAATAATTTTGCAGGATCAAGCGCGAAATGAGATTATAATATCGTTTTATTCATAGACATTATTGTTCTTCATTATCTCATGAAGATTTACTATTACAGCAGGCTAATGTTTGAAATTTCTTGATAATGAAAGGACAGCCTAAGTGCGCTCAGAGGCCAGAGAGAATTGAGCGCGCTGTTCGACAAGGAAATCGACTACGAAAGGTATGTGACCTATAGCTTGCTACAATGTATCGTATTATTGACTGGCCATAAAATGGTCCCATGCATTAGAGGGCCATTTTATGATAATAAGTCTTGCCTGTACAATGTATATGCTCACATCAAAGAGGCCACCCCATTTTATTGAGTTACTTGAGTTTAATCATCAGTATTCATTACGTATTCGTAGGCTCTTGCTATGGGGGTGTATATTGACTGTACACATCTGGTATCTTAGCTATAATAATGACCTCTACAATATTATAGGACGCAATGTGTTTTTGAAATTTTCTAAGACAAAAAAAATCTATGCTATAAGCCAGAATCTGAAAGTTGGAACTGCATACCTATATATATTGACACAATGTTACGCTCTATAGGTGACGTTGCTCACAGAAGATATGGACACTGACGCTTTGCCGACACTTTTCCATATGTTTGGAAGTAAAGATGGTGATGTGCTACATTGTTTTTATTGTGGGATAACTGTGTGGCGGTGGCCACCATGCAAGCACGACGAGATATATACCATGCCAATAATAATACACAATGGAGCACACATGTGCTTAGTAAATGATTTTATTATGAAATGTAAATATTATGTAATATAGAGTAATTATTTATGATATGGGGGTTTTTAATCACTCACAAATAAATGTTAACATGCACTGGAAAACATCTTAATTGTACCCATAATAGAGGGTTTAGTGGGGCGGTGTCAGTATCTATATATGAGGAGATTGTTGTATGAGGTTAACATGCAGGATAAATGGTTGTGTGATTTGGCAGCAACACTCCAGAGAGAGTAAAATAAGCTGGGCAAGAGTTGAATTGAAGTAATCCAGCCCACATCTACTAAATGCCTATTTCACTGGCATTAACCAATTACATTATATGTTACATTAAACTCTATATCGTATAATTATTAAGTATACACCCCAGCACATGCACCTATATTCTGTTGTTTGTCTGTCTTGGTAATGTTTTTTCAACTGTTGTTGTTGCTTAGAGCGGCGAGCCGAGTTGCCTTGCCGGCGCTGGCCATTCTGGAACTTCTTTTGGGGAGGTAAGTGAAATGTGCAGTGTAAATACTTGGCAGAAAGCAGTTCCCGATTGTTGCGCACCGCACCGTTGGTAACAGAAAACGTTCTCGCACATGTGCCGTATTTTGCTGTATGTGCCAGGTAGGTACCTGCAAGCCGGCGGAAAACGCTATATTAAACTAGAAATGGCAGTTGTCGCCAACTGCATGTAGTCCCCGCGATCTAGTATGAATGAAATATCTCCGTAAGGAATTTTTTTGCACAAATCCGCTATGTTGATTAGTGTTAAACTAAAAGTCGGAGAGATTATCTTCAAGTGCAGAGTAAAGGCCAAAGACAGGTGCCAATGCACACTTTCTCTCTCATACGTGTAAGTATACCATGTCTGGTTGCGCTAGGTCAATTAGGGGTCGAGTTATAGAGCGGAAGAGAAATATGACCAATTTCAAGGTTAAGGTCAAATAAAGGTCGCAGTAACCTAGTTTTGGTACGCGACACACCTTCTCCCCTAGGTCAATTAGGGCCTAAGTTATAGAGCAGTAAGGAAATATGATCAAGGTCAAGGTTAAATAAAGTTTGCAGTGACCTGGTTTTGGCACGCAACACACCTTCTCCCCAAGATGTGTAAGTATACCGAGTTTGGTCGCGCTATGTCAATTAGGGGCCGAGTTATAGAGCGGAAGAGAAATATGATCAAGGTCAAGGTCAAATAAAATTTGCAGTGACCTGGTTTTGGTACGCGACACACCTTCTCCCCAAGATGTGTAAGTATACCAAGTTTAGTCGCGCTAGGTTAATTAGGGGCCAAGTTATAGAGCGGAAGAGAAATATGATCAAGGTCAAAGTCAAATAAAGGTCGCAGTCACTTGGTTTTGGTACGCAACGCACCTTCTCCCCAAGATGTGTAAGTATACCGAGTTTGGTCGCGCTAGGTCAATTAAGAGTCGAGTTATAGAGCGGAAGGGAAAACCAGTGTCCCCACCACCATCTTCTCGTATCAACCTCTAGCAGCTCCCCTGCCAATCATCTACGTTATTAATCCCCCTGCTTTACTTTCCCTACCTTTCCGTCTTTTTCCACGAACGTCTCCTCACCTCAGCTTCCTTCTCCACCTTATCTTCAAGTCCTGCTTTACTCTCATCTGTCTCCTCTAGCTCCCTCAGCCTCTATATTCTTCCAATCATCTACCTTCTCCCTCTCCTACTGTTGTAGGCCAACTATTCTACCTTATCCCTTTCCTTACCCGCATAGATCTACCACCTTCACCTTCTTCCTCTACATCGCCTTCATATTGTGCCTCTCTATATACCAACTCTTCCATATTCTCATCATCTACTTCTTTCAGTGTCATAGAAAATTTGACATCATTGTCTCATCCCAAATTCTACGTTTACTTAGCTATCGAATTCTCTCATTGTTATAGTGATAAATATGATATATATGATATAGTGATTATATTGAAAAATATGAAAAGAGATATATGTGAACTCATTTGTTATCCGAGAGGTGGCGCTACGGTGTAAGGAACAAAACAGCAAGCATGTTATTGTTAATGTTATCATCGTATACGTGGTTATAATGATGTTTGTGAGCTAGTGTTAGGTACTTTTCGATTATCTTGAATGGTTTTTGCTGCCCTCCTGTGCAATGTATATGCGCTCTATCATCAGAAAGAACATATTATCTGATACTGAGGACTCAAAACTTGTGATAAATTTTATATATGATAACACGGTCTGCATCATGTTTGGTACCGGTAGCTCTAGGCACAGGCACTTGCGACTGTCTGTACTGGTGCTCAAGGGGTCGTTGTCGTATCAGTAGATACAATAATGTAACCCAAACCCAAGAGGATA